CATCACCAACAGAGGAGACTGCTGTGCAGAAAGGATCAATGGGGCAGAGATTCACATCGGCAACTCGTTACAGGACAATGGTGCTGCAAACCCAGTGTGAGTGCTCATTAGTGGTTATAGGATTTAGATGAAAAAAACTAAAAACAACAGCATGGGCAGCCATTTTGTTCCTTTCTTTCCTTGTTCAATATTCATCACCACATTTTCCCTCAGGACTGGGAATGGCTCAAGGCTAAAGCAAAGGAGGAATCATTCATATTCATATTCTGCCCAGGATTTCAGAGTCCAGTCCAGACTGCCCAGTCACAACTGACCTGTTCCATTAACCATCACACTGCTGCATCCCAGAATCCCCCAAGCACATACTGAGCATCATTAATAAAACGATTCCTCTCTTTTTGTCTCTTTTTTTAAATTTAGGGTTGGTGTAATCTCTGAAATCCCTGCAGGGAGCTCACACACTCTGACTTTCACCAGTCAAGCAGAAGGACGTTATGTGACTGTGCGTCTACCTGGTTCAGACAGGGTTCTTACACTCTGTGAAGTGGAGGTTTATGGGTATCGTGCCCCAACTGGTGAGAACTTGAACCATCCCACGATGTACAGTTAAAATGAATGTCATTCTCAGATTATTAGTGGCTTCGTAAAGATTTGGGCCACTCTGGGAAAATTAAGAAGATTTGAAGTGAAAAGAAGTAAATACAACTCCTGCAAACAGGAGACTGACTTTCAAACTCCACAACTACAGGTTGTGACACGTTTAAGAAAATCCACAGTTAGTCATGACTTTAACGTGATTGAAACATAAATAAAGGTATCAGTGCTGATACCGTGTTGTTTTTGCAGGAGAGAACCTGGCACTCCAAGGGAAAGCCACACAGAAATCAGTGTTTGGATATGGCTTGGCATACAATGCCATCGATGGGAATCGCGCCGCCAAGTGGGAAGACGCCTCCTGCGCTCACACAGATTACCGCTACAACCCGTGGTGGCGACTGGATCTGCGCAAAACCCACATGGTGTTTTCTGTTAAGATAGTCAACCGAGATGTCTTTGCAGAACGACTCAATGGAGCCGAGATCCGCATCGGAGATTCTCTTGACAACGACGGCAACAACAATCCCAGGTAGTTTACAGACTGTTAATTATAGTACTAACATAATTAAAAGTAAGCAGGTCAGAATCTCCAATCTTGACAGTACAGATTGTATGATACAGCTCGACCGATACTGATACAGATATCTAACTTTCTCTCTGACTGATCATTTTATAATTAAATACAGCTGAAATCTCAGCTCAGTTTTTGTCTTTAATTTACTGCATGCGTTTGGTGATTTTGTCAGATGATGTCGCAGTTATAAAATCAGGATATGACCATAGGTGGGCCAGACATATACTTAGCTTTGACCAAGTCTTGTTTCTCAATTAGCTCAGTGCTAGTTTGGCATTTCTTCACTTTATGTTACTTACTGGTCAACATATACTGACACATATGCAGTAAGCTAATATTGGCTGATAAATCGGCCAGATGATAAATCAGTCGAGCCCTATTGTGTGGAAATGAAAGAAAATGTGGTCACTCCTTTTATCATTACCAAACCTCAATAAAAACATCTGACACCAACAGTTAAAGAAAGTGAAGCCTAAAAAAGAATCTCTTCAGCCGGTCAACCTTTGCAAAGATAAAGTCATTTCTGCTTCTTCCAGGTGCGCTGTGATCTCACACATCCCGCCAGGTGCTGTTCATGAATTCCAGTGTCATGGGATGGACGGTCGCTACGTGAACGTGGTCATCCCTGAAAGAGGCGAATACTTGACCCTGTGCGAGGTGGAGGTTTACGGCTCTGTCCTGGATTAGTTTTAGAGGTTTAATTCATCTGGAAGAATTTAGCCGACACTGTTATATTTACTCAAACTAATCGGAACAATAGATTACGCTTGAATTTGATTGTTTGCATGAGAAACAAGTAAAATTCATTGCAATGTCTGGTCTTAAACTAAAACGCTGCCCTCTCACTCATTTCAAAGAGACCTATGGTAAAAGAAAGCAGGTTGAATCGCGCCTGTGTGTTTTTTATTGATAATGCTGTTTTGAGCTCTTTGTAATGCCAAACTTGTGAACTGCACTGCCTCTGCTGCATAATATCACATCTTTAATCATCATAAAAGAGCCTTACACATCGGAGCATAACATTCATAACAATTGATATTAAAGCTTTAACAAAACTGCATCAACATGGAACTGTGTTTTCTTTTTTCTACTTGTTTCCTTGTCTCCACAGCTGCCTTCTGCCTCAGCGCCATGAGTTTTAACTGGTTGACAAATGTAGTTTTACTTTAGCTCATTTGTAAACGCAGTCACGGTTACAGTATTTGTCCTTTCGTCTGGTAACTCCTTTCTAATATGAGTCCATTACAGGTGACGTCAAGCTCACTCGGTTCAGGTAAGGCCCTTATGTCCAAGAACAATTTCCATCGTGATCTTTGACGTAAAAAACTACAACTAACAAATACAATGTGTATCACCAATACAATCAACAATACAAATCACTCCAATCGATCTAAATATTTCCACTGCAGAAGCCGTTAAAGTTAAAAGTTAAGATAAGAAGAAAAGCCTCATGTTATTAATGCTGGTAAGTGTTTATGTGGGACTGCTGCAGTCTCTCCCATCTCGCCTGTTAAACAGAAAAATCCAGGCAGCAGCAGCAGCAGCACAGAGACACAGACGGGACATTTATTTAGCTTAGTGTTAATTAGCCCGCCTCGTAGCACAACAAATCACCATCTCCAGTGCTTCCTGCACCGTGACGACAGGTTATCTCTGCAAGTTAAATGCATCTCCCCCCTCGGCCAATCCCGAGGTTATTAAAACGTACGCTTTCCACTGCTGTGAGACGAGTTTAGAGAATCTGTGAAATCACACAGAATCAGTGACAGAGTGAAATGCAGACGAGGACACGCTGTAGATTCAGCTTCACTGCAGGAACACAGAGGATCCTCAGCTTAGACCCTCACTGCTTGTTTGTCATTGAAACATCTTGACTGTAACACACGATTATTTTCATTATCGATCTGTGGATAAGCTTTTGATTAAATTAATTAATCGTTTTCAAAGAGATACAGAAGAAAAATGCAAATCCTAACTTCGCAGAGTCCAAGGTGACACTTGAAAATGTCTTGTTGATCTGAGAAACACCTCGAGGGGAATTTCTTCAAACTTGGCA